TCACTCTCTCCCAGAAATACTATGACGACGGCTTTCCTGAGTCGGATCTAATGGTGTTTGTGAATGAGTGCACGGAAGAGCCCACCAGTGGTGTCTTCCATGACGATGGTGACCGCACTATCCATGATGTCATCAACTCGTTCTGTTGCTGTGGACATGAGTAAGTATTGGGCATCTTTGCAGAATAGTGGACATGATTTAAAAGTATGTGTATATAATATGCTTATGTGTTGTTATTATTTGATTACTATCATCATCCTTATTTTCCTCATCTTTTTTAACCCCACACAGAAGAAGAAGTGATACCCAGGAGTATGAGCCTCTAATCACGTAGACAAAGGTGTTTGCAACCACTTGCTAGCCATGCATGTGCTTACGGTACCAAGCCATGTTCTCTACAATATTTGTTGTGATTCACACCAAAAGAGATTTCGGGAGTCACGCGTTTATCCTTGTCCTCCCCATCCCCTTTCTTCCTATTCTCTCACCTGTATAACATCCCTTCCCCCTTATGTTTTCCATTTTCTCCATGCCCCTTCCTATTCCCACCTACCCCCTTCCTATCCTGTGCCCTTTTAACTCTGCTTCCATTCCATTTTCATATTCATATTATGATTATGAATATGATTTATTACTGTGACTACTACTACTGCCACTATTACTTGATAATTTTTTTATTTGCACTGTGATGACGCGTCTGGGGTGATGCGCTGACCTCCTGTTGTAAATACTTGCAGTTGCTCCACTGAAATACCATATTGTTTACATGTTATTATTTTTATATAACTTTTCTGAGTTATTTTATAGCTTTGTTTCTCAAGGTTATTATATCCATTGTATCCACTATATAATATATTTACCTCTCTTTCTCCCCCTTTCCCCCCCAAAAAAAAATAATGGAATGAACATACTCATTCCAATTTTCTCATCTCATCCTTATAAACAACTGTGTTATTACTTTTACAGTCTTAGATATTAGCTTACTGCCAATCACAACACAAGCCAATAGTTATGGAATTTCTAATCCTATTTATTTCTGATTGTTTTTCTTTAAGTGTCCCTTTCTGGAATCTTGATTGGAAACCTTTATTATAATCCTCATTGGCAGCATTGAGTTCCTTTCATTATACTTAAAGGTGATTATTAGTCAACTTTTTTTTTCTTTTGTTTATTCTGTTTTCTGTGATTTTTTACAGGAAGTATTAGCTAGTATGTTTCCTCTTTTTTCTTGTAAGGAATCGTGAGACCAGCCCATTTCTTCTTTTTCTCTCTCATTTCTGTTTTCTTTTTAAGGGTTGAATTTAATTCTCTGATTTATAGACTTTGATTTGGTGATTTGACAATTGTGCTTCACATGAAGGAATGAAAAAGAGGAAAAATAAGTAGAAGTTTTGACATGGCTCCAAAGTTCTGTACTTTGCACTAATAAGGACTCTAGTCTCCATAATAGAGTGGAAAAGACAACCAGCTTTGATGCATAGTGTGTTAACTAGTATATACTGCGGTTATTAATATGCCAACACATTTACCAGTCACTGAGCATTTTTAGAAAGTTTATGAAGATGTTTGAAATAGTATTTTGTACTTTTTTACTTCCACAGTTTTGAGTGCTTTGCAGTAAGAGGTATACAGTCTTGCAGTAGGTTATCAAATTAGAAGACAGTCAAGGTCTTTCCACAATTAGGGCTTTCTGTCTGTATATGACTGTCATATCAAGGACCATATGACAAACAGCTCCTCAATGCTGTGTCTCTGTTGCTCGAGTTTTGAATTTTATCTCTTTAGGTTATACATTTGTATTAGGGTGGCGTTATGTATCATGTAGGGCTTTCAGTATTTAGTCGTCTTTTCCTTGAGATGTATCTGAAATATCTGTCATTTGGCCAAAGTGAAGCTTTTGCATTGTTAGTAACTGAATACTATTTTTCCCATACTATAACTATGCCATCCATTGGTGTATTTTACCCCATGTGATTTTCAAATAACTGCTGTATACATATTGTGATATATTAGTCACAAAGTGAAACTGCTGCATGTGGCTGACATTTTATATATCTTGTAGAAGTTTGTTTTATGAATTGGAAAATGCAAATGGAAATAAATATGGTAAGAGAAAGTAATTTAAAACATGTTAGTCTTTGATTTAGTAATTGTTGGTAACAGGGGATAATGCTCAGGTCTTGTTAGTTTCTTGATTTTATTAATTAATATTTTATTGATACTTTTCTTGTGTGTAAATGTTAATGTTCACCCAAGTGTGAGTCACCCACTTATTTTTATCTCATTTATATATGTCTGTATCATTTGTATATTTCATGCCATTGAATAATATGTTTGTAAATATTTACATGCATTAGGACACTACTGAGAAGGCTATATAGAGTTGATGCATAAATGCATACTGAAGTGTACATGTACCAGTTATTAAACTAATAGTATTTTATGTTCACTGTATTTTTCTTTTCATCATTTTGTTATAGTCATTGTAAAAATAACAGGATCAGTTTTGTAATGCTATAATAACCCAAATGCAAATAAAAAAAAAATCAAGTAACATATTTGATGTCCTACTATATAGCATTTGTGGAACTGGATCTTTGATATCCAGAAATTATAGTATTACCTAATATGTAAGGGAACAATTTTGTTTATGTCATTGCTACCAGTAGGAAACAAAACAGATTATTAGACAGCAGATGTATGGACAGAAAATGGCAAACAAACACAGAACAGTGGATAAATAACACAGGCAAAATATTTTTATATGATATGGTATCCACGTTTGTAAACAGTTAACCAATGCAGAAGACAGGTGTAGCTTCACCTATTGTCATCAGGAACATATAATGCTCACTGTAGTTTTGTTTTGTGAAATATGTTTACACATAGATGACTACAAGGCCTAGTTTCCCTTTCTTTGAGTTTTATTTTTTTTTTTTATTGATATGCATGCATTATTTTATTATTATTATAATGACTAACAATACTGATGGCCACCAAAAAAAAGAAAAGAAAAAAAATCCAAAAATCCAAAGGATAAACAAGATTAGTAATTGAATTCTTGGTGAATAAGTACCTGTGGAGCCATGTATGTGTAAAGACAATTAAAAAATACAGTAGGCATGTATGGCATGCCATCCCTGGTGGCATTGGGTCAAAAAATGTCTTGTCGATTATATGATATACACTTCTTTGTGTAAGAGGAAAAAAGGAAAATTATGGCTATTTTTTTAGGTAAAGAAAATCTTTATAATTCTTGAGAGAATAAAAAATTTAACAGGAAATGAGGAAGCTTGAATGATATGTTACAGGAAAGCCTTGTAAGCTAAGAAAATATTCTAATTGAACACTGATTACAGATATTTATGTGCTAATATTAATAATCTTTCTTGGAAATTTTGTAATTTTATATTATTAATATTCCTTCAAGATTATAATGGATGTCATGTTTTTTTTTATTTATGTATTTATTTATTCATTTTTTTTAAGAAAAATTTCCGGAGTCTAGAATGATAATTAATTTTTAATCAAATGTAAACATTCATATATTTATATATTTTCAATACAGATCTGTTCAGCTGTGACTGTTCATGCAATCATTAGGCTCATAGTTACTTATTTTAATCCTGTTTCAACATTGTAAGAATAGGTTCTTTTGAAAATATGTAAGATTGTTTTACAGAATCTAAACAGATTTTTACATTTTTAAAAAATCTTCAGTAATACTATTGTTTCTGTAGCTGAACTATTTTACCTACCTGTTTTAGACCAGATTTATACCTTACTCATTACAATGACTTGGAAAATATTCATGATGTCTTCATGTCACAGATTCATTCACATCATCATTATTATCATAACTGATAACAGCATAGGAGTTGATAAGTAAGAGAGATTGTAGCATACACAAAAGCAGTCATAATACTTTACCTTGTGCTTGCCATGTTGTATATTCATTGTAAATATTCCTGTGAAATACATTCCTGTAATTACTGAATGTCAAAGTCAGTATTTTGAGGATGGCTGTTTAATGATTTTGAAATAATATGAGAGATATGTGAGTCAGAAAGATCTATAGCATACCTAATGTGATTAAAATGTATTTTTGTTTCTTTAATTTTTTAGTTTTCATAGAATTAAGAACATGTATCTTCCTTGCGATGCATTATTTTCATTATTCTAGAAATACTTGGGACTCCTTGTTCTTGACTTTTTTTTTTCTCCATTTTATCCATTTTCCTTCTCTGTAATTTTCTTGCGATGTCTCTCCTCAAAAGACCAATATTTTGTAAAAAAAAAAAACATTTTCAGTTATTTCATAAAATTAATTGTATTTCCTTTAGCTGATTTCTTAAAATGCATTTTGCAGTTGATTTTTTAAAAAAGACACAGAAATAGACATCTATATTAATTTCTTTCCCAGACTGAATTTAATATTTAAGATTTATTTATTTATTTATTTATTTTATTTATATTATCTTTCTCATTCCTATGCTGCTCCTCCATTCCTCGTATTTAATTGTTCATTATCCATTTTTAAAAAATTTTGTGTAGCAGTTGAAGAAAACTCTTTGGAATAAGTTACTGAATGACGAGGAAAAAACTGTTTGTGTATGAAAAGAAATAGTATTATATATAATTACATATGCCAATGCATGTCTGAAAATATATGGTGTATTACTCCATTTGTAAATAAAGTGAAGAAATAAATCCTGTTTGATTTTTTAATTAAGTTTAGGTATTAGTATTGTTCCCTATATAAGTGTATTTCTGTTTATGTATATACTGTTACATATATGTTTATAATGTATATGATTTGTTCATTTTTTTTTCCTAAATTATAAAGATTCAAAATGTCAAAACTATTTACAGTCCCAACTTCATTTTTATAACAGGTTTGCAATAAAAAATAAACTCTCTCCAAAGAAAAAAAAGTTAAATTGATTGAAAAACATCTTAGAAAATAAAAGCATTATTCTTATGAAAGTAGGGATACTTCTATAAGCTATCCCCCCCAATCCCTTGCCCGTTGTTGTCGTGGGGGGGCTTAGGAGGCGGAGACTGGGACCCAATGATGGGGAACTCCCCAACCTTGGGACTCAGCCCTCGACTCAACTAATTATGCATGGTCTTTTTTTCCCTTCCCACTTTTGTTTCTGTCCCTTCACCAAACCCTCCCCCCCAATCCCTTGCCCGTTGTTGTCGTGGGGGGGCTTAGGAGGCGGAGACTGGGACCCAATGATGGGGAATTCCCCAACCTTGGGACTCAGCCCTCGACTCAACTAATTATGCATGGTCTTTTTTTCCCTTCCCACTTTTGTTTCTGTCCCTTCACCAAACCCTTCTGCTATCCACCTCCTAAGGTGTGAGAGCCGTGCTGAAAGGATGAAAGGCTGACTTTGTGCCAGTCCTGAACGGCCTGAGGGAGCCATGGGCACGGTATTCCCCTGATTTAGTTATCTAGCCCTTACCCCTCAAGGGGACCCTGAGGGGTGGACTGCTTTTATCCCCAACATAATCCAGGCTTCCCATGGCCAGTAATGAAAATATATCCCCACTGTTAGGGGCAATGAGGCTTGCCCCTTTATCAAATAGCCCCAACGAAGTAAACCCACCCGATTCCCCGACCCCAGGCTCTCCTTTGACCACGGCTCCAAACACTGCAATAACTACCCCTTCACCAATGCCTACTAGTACAGTAGCCAACAATCAACCCTCAAGGGACATTTCCACTCTCCCAGCATGCCCAACTTCAACACCTCTACCCCCACAACCTCCAACATCAACCACCCCATCCTCCCTTATTAATACCTTACAGCCTTATAGCCCACCTCTCCATAACACTACCTCCATCAACACTACTCCATCTTCGTCACGCCCTCGCCCTTCTACCACCCCTATCTCTAAAACAATCTTGAATACTCTCTTCAGTGCAGCCAAATGGGACCGATTTTTCGTGATCCCTCCCACAGCTCCCTACTCTGACAACACCCTTCTCTTCCAACAATGCCTCCAAAAACAAGTAGGTAAAGTCTCTTTCCGTAGCCGACCCGACCGCTCCCGTCTTGTAACAGTAACATCCGAAAACCAAGCCATAGCACTAACAAAACTAACTGACCTATATGGTAACCCCATCCTAGCAGAACCCCATCCAACCCTCAATACTTGCACCGGAACAGTCTCAATCTCACCAACAAATTGCCCAATCTATGACAAAGAATGGTCAGATTGTGGAGATCTACTTGCCTGTCTCACAGACTACGATGCAACATCAGTACAATGCTATTCCATCCCCCCAGAGGTCATCGAAAGAAACCCACTAACATAGCCAAAATTACCTTCCGTAGACATGACCTTCCCTTTAACGTCTACATAGGAGGAGAATCCCTCCCTGTTCGTCCATACCAACCTCCTCCACGTCAGTGCCAAAATTGTTGGCGTCTAGGACACCCAGCCAAACACTGCCGTTCCACAGCCAGATGCCCATTATGTGCCCAACCTGGCCATACCCGATCTAACTGCTCTGCACAATCACG